CAAACAGAGAATAACTGTACTGCACTGTTACACTTCAAACAGGTCTGACAAAAAAAGAAAGACACTCCTGCAAGTGTGCAGGGTGAAAGAGTCCAACAGCTGGGTGAGAGAGTGTGTATAAAGGTTACAGGGAAACGTTTAGGCCAATTTAGGCTCCTAAGGGCTTCAGAAGTACACTCATAAGCACACGCAGAGAGATAACAGCAGCGTTACTCAATTTCCCATCATTTCCTTCATACTGGAATTCCCTGTTTCATTACCCTGTACTTTTACTACCAGCGGAAGTGCTGTTACCATCAAGCTTCAACACGCAGTACTTAGGTTGGCAAAAGCTATCAGGCTGATGTACTTGCCAAGTGCCCCAAATATGAAGCGGGAAGAACTGCACAATGGACTTTTTACCCACTTCTTGAACGAAACTTTGATGTTTTCCTTGTTCCTCTTGAGGATAAACTCAAGCATGACAGAGGGTTTTTTAATGTTGGGTTTTGGACGCTGTTTGTTTAGGTTTCCAGTTTGTCCTCTTTCGCTGGACAGAAGATGTAAACTCAATGACCCTCTAGCGCCGGACGCATTAAAATGACAATGAGTGAAATCTGGGGCTGACTGGAGCAGAAAACGGAAAAAAAAAAAACAAAACAAAAAAAAACACAGAGCGCTTTCAGAGCTGCCTTTACACACCATGAACCATACAGGCAAACTCCGCCACCTTACAGACATCAGGCTGATCAGATTCACTTCAGGTTGGTTTACTTTCTAATGGAAGGATATCCCAGTAAATAACAAGATAAACTTATTCGCCGTTACACCGATTTATACAATGTTATTAAGTAATCGCGTGGTTTTAAGAGGCTTATTACATTCAGTTATGGAACTTTAATAATGGCCATGGAGTTGTAAGTACTCCACAAAACAATGATAAAACTTCATAGGCAAGTCTCAGTAGTGAAAAGGCTAATCACAAAGCAGATTATGAAAGAATCTAGACAGAACTTTGTGCATTAGGTCTCAGGACAGAAAGGTCATATGAGGCCTTTTCTTTATATACAGTGCCTACTATGACGGGTGCTCCAGTCATAAATGATTATGGTTGATTCTGACTTATTTACAGCATAACAGGCCGACTTACACTAGTCAAGGCTCGTGCTGAACGCAGCAGACAACAAAGATGATAGCTTTGTTATAAGATAACCAAAGCTAGTAGCTAGCACTTTGTGGGCTAAATGAATGCCCTGATATGAATATAGTGATGCGGGTAGGCCTAACACATGCACCAACGTGCACTTGAGACGAAGCTGGCAGTACCTCATCAGTCAACTTTTCCACTGGAGACGCTACAGATTGCAGTCTCGATTTCCTCCTCAAACACTTACATATTTTTACACGGCTGACATTTTTGGCAGAAGAATTCAAAAGCAGCCTGAGTGCACTTTGCAGGATCACGTTACTTGCGTCAAACAACTCGACCAAAACAAAAATAAATTCCAAGTAATGTTGCCACGATTGCAGGATTAAACTTGAACACTTGATTTTTAATTGCTTAAAACTTACCTACTATAAATCGGCAATGGTTAGTTAGCAACGTGCACGATAAAGATATATATTTAAAGTCTGATGGACACACCTATTTTCATGTATTTTGAAAGAATGAGAAGACAGAGACAGTGCCATAACTAGGCTAACCACTCTACCTGGCATTAGCTACAACTAAAAATACAAATAATGAATAAGAACTATGATAACAACGATGATATGTTGATACGAAGCCTTTTATTATCTTCTTCGGTTAACTGAATATCCGTTCATGGACGCTTATGGATACACAAATACCAAACTAAGTCAAAACTAGGGATGCAATACTGGCAATGCTATTATCCTTGTTTATTTTTAGGCTTTTAAAAAAAAACACACAAATAAACGTCACAAAATAGTCACAATCGCATCAATTACTTCATTACAAATGTAATCAACAGTATAATAAGGACAGCTAATTCAAATCCTGGCTCCCAACTGCGCTTCCCTACCAACTATCTACCTTCCTTTAGTCTCTTCTTTCCTCCTTTCCACCATTAGGGCTAAAGTGAATAGACAATGTCACTCTTTTTCTCCATTTCACCTCCATCTCCCCCCAAAACGTACATCCACACGTACGCACAGCCCAATTACAGCCCACTTCCTTCCAGGTGAAGTGCAAAGCCGCCTGGTTCATTAGGCGATTACTTGTGTCTGTGAGGCTATGTGCCGTCCAGACACGTAGTATGTGCCTGTCAAATGTGTAGCAGTACAGTGACCAGCACAAAAGGGGCGAATGAACACATTTTGGCAGCCTCGAAGGAAACGGTGACAATAGGCTACGCAAGCGCCGACTGAATAGCCCCGGAGGCTTATCTGGCAGCATGTCAGATCATTTTCATTCCCTGTACTTTGACACTGCTGAGGTTGTGCGATGGACTGTAGTCCAGCAACTTCTAAACGTAGGAGACTAAGGATGCCCGTTTCATTCAGAATCTCTACCTTGACTAGACAGGTCCGAGTCTGTGCTCACACAAGAGTCCATTTACAGAGGAAAAGATACTACAGACCTAGTGTTTCCCCAGAGAGACCACGGAGGCCCAAACACTACCGAGCGAGTTATCAGACAGGCATGAGTCTGTGAATGAACTGTTGTTTTAGGAGCCTGGACTGAGGCTGGTCTGAAGATTAGCGCACACAAAACAGCCTGGCATTTTCACCGTCATCATAAGACTATTGTTTTACACCCAATACAGTAAACATAAGAAAAGAAAGCCTGTCTTTCACGGAATCTGTGGCAAAAGAAACAACAGAGCAACGCTGAATGACATCATGCAGTGGAGTAAAGTGAGACAGAAGAGGAAGGAGAGTTGTTCTCCTTTCAGGAGAAAGACAGCGAAAAGGGATAGCGGTTTGCGGATTTGGTAAGATAGGTTAAGGACAAAGTCCACCACAACCTTCACTCTTTAGTCGCCTGAGCACTCCCTAGACTGTGGTGCAACTCAGTGAGCGTGTCTTAGTAGGTCACAATGATTATAATGTACATAATCAGTCAGAACTTGAATGAAAGTTTAGCTTTAGTACCTTTAGTAAGAAAACTACAAAACTGTTCAAACTAGAGTCCAGTTTTATCTCCACTTCTACACAAGTTGTCCATGATAGAACACTAAATTAGCCGTAATAGACAAGATGTCTATTAAATGAACGATTTCAAAGTAAAAGTTAAGAAATATCCCAGATATTAAAATGAAGTTCCACTGATTCTTCTGAATTTCTGGAGAATTCAGTCACTGAGATGGAAACGTAATTCAGGTTGTTTTGACATGACGTTAGAAACCAGAGGGCAATGCAAATATTGCCATTTTATTTACTATCCAAAACAACCAGTTAACTCCTTAACATTCTAAGCTTATTACATACTAAGGCTTATTATTCATGAACCACAGGGACTTCAATGCAAACTAATGGAACTTTTCTTAGGTTATACTGTGTAAAAAAACTTTGGGCCCACCACTGTGCCCATGGCTTGGTAAGGGGTTAAACTACATATGTCCTTTTTTTTACAGTCTGTAGTGTTTGTATGTAATGTTTATGGTAAAATAGTGATAAATCTGTGTAATTCTATGGGTACTATTTTGACTTACAGTGCTGTGCATGTAGGCCTACACCATTACAGGATTTAAATAATATGTTTTAAGCCAAAACCTTTCTATAAATCTACTGTAAAACAAAGGCTCAGGCATCACGTGGCATATCTATAAAAATGAATGTAATGACTTTCTGTGTGGGAGCTTTAAAAGCATTAAACTCTTCAGACGTCACCACTACAATGAATTCAGACTATAAGTTTCTCTACATCCTTAAAAACAAAGGTTCTTTAGTAAAGACAGTAGTTCTACATGAAACTATGAACACTCAAAGAACCATTTGCATGCTGAAAAGGTTCTTTGCATAGTGAAATTATTATTTAGACTGATAGAGAACGTTTTGTACATGGTTCTCTACAGAACTGTGATTCTATATAACACCAAAAAGGGTTCTGCTGCTGTTAGGATGTCAAGCTTGTAACAACAGAAGAATCCCATTTTTAACAGGTTCTATAAAGAACCATATACAACTTAATCTTCATCACGAAGTGTTTCTATGTATAACTCATGGTTCTCAATAGTCATTCCCTGTACCAAAGAACCCTTGAAGAACCATTTTTCTTAAGAATGTAGAATTAAGCATTAGTGGCACTGCTTATATTGAACCATTTGATCATGCAGAAATTTTGAAAAAGCGGTGGAGTCCCCCTTTAACCTACTGATAATAAAACGCCTTCTGCGTTTAGGATCACCTCTCAATGACAGTGCACTGTCCTGGATCCGGTATCTATTAGTGCAGAGATCCTGCAGTTTAGGCAGTTGGAGCGGCACAGGACCAGACAGGCGTTGAAGAGCCCTGATCTGATCTAACTGATCTAATCTAACTTCGGTTTCTCTGGTTTCTCAGGAGCTCAGTGAAACGCAGCACTCGCATATGAGCAGGAATAATTTCCGGATAGCAGCAGAAAAACGTGCACAGCAACTCGTGCGTTTACTAAAGTCTGCGGACCCAAACCGACCAAACTTTAAGCCAAAACTTTCCCTCAGCAAGTCAGGCTAACGCAGCTGCAGGAAAGCTAAGTTAACTAACCTTCACCTTGGCTCGGCTAGCTAACTGTGCTAAAAAGTCAGCTTCTTATTCGAATTTTCCCGTTCCACCTTAAATGGTGCAGCAGTTACATTCTTACATTCCAGCACTGAATGTAACTGCTGCACCATTTAAGGTGGAACGGGAAAATTCGAATAAGAGGCTGGCAGGAAAGGAAGCCAACTTCAGCCTCGTGCTAAAAAGCAGCCGAATTCACATAGAACCGAGGCAGCGAGTTAGCCGACTGCCGTAGCCGGACCTCAGCACGCCCACAAGGGCGCTGAGCAGCTGGACAGCCAGCCTGAGAGCCTTACTTTGACCGAGTCCACCGGGTACATGACCGTGTGCTCCAGCACTCCCGCCACGGCGCCCGCTGTCATGTGCGTCGCCAGGGAAGCGTGAGGCGGCAGGCTCTCATACTCCTCCGCCTCGGAGGTCTCCGACATCTCCAAGCTGGCCACGACCGGCTCGGTTCGCAACTCCATGCGGGAGGGACTGAGCCGAGAACGAGTTTCTCTCCTCTCTCTCTCTCTCTCTCTCTCTCTCACTCACTCACAGTCAGCCGCCCCGAGTCGAGTCGGCGGGTCCACCATGGCCGCGTTACGGAACAGCCGTGACGTCACGACGTCATTTACGGGGGCGGCACTCAAAACAAATCCAGCCACCAACGAACAACTTTTACTGTCTCTTCTCTCGTTTTTCTCTTTTTTTGACAGTTTTTTGGACACGATTTCATATTATTGATGCATCAACATTCCGTAGTTGCCCCTTCGCTTTCCCGTTTTTAATCCTCGCCTCTCCGCATTCCCAGCAGCTCCCGCTTTGATTCCACGGCGATCCAGAGCAGCCGCTGTACAGTTGATTTGAAGTTCGATTCAGTTCAGCGACTCGGGACCGATTCTTTCGCACAGTGCGTTCCAGTGGACAGAGCGTTCGATTCATCGATTCATTGCCATGCAGATTCATTTCGGTCAAGATAGCTTCGTCTCCCCTTAAACTGCCCTTCAACCCCTTTAAAAGTCATAACATCCGTCAGAATTACAAATAACACGTACACAGATTGTTTTGGACAGTATTTTTATTGAAAACCAATACACTCCAAGTAATTTTCAAGTCAAAATCCAGATATTTAAAAAAAACTGAAAAATGTTTCTTGCGTAAGTATTCAGCCCCTTCAGACTTGTACTTGGTAGCTGCTTTAAGTCTGTTGGGATAAGGTTCTACCAGCTTTGCACATTGTTTGGAAATGTTTTTACCCATTCTTCCTGGCAGATGAAGTTTGTGAGAGAAATTTTCAAACACAGGGACACAGATTCTCAATTTGATTTAGGCCTGGACTTTGACTTCGACATTGTAGAACTTTCATCTTTTTATTGTTCAACCACTCCTGTGTTGCTCTGGCCTTGTGCTATGAGGGATCATTGTTCTGCTGAAAGGTAACATTTCTTGAAAGCTTTAGTTTTTAGCGGACTGAAACAGGTTGTCTTGTAGTATCTCCCTGTATTCTGCACAGTCTGTCCGTCCTTCAGTTTTAACAAGATGCCTAGCCCCCACCGAGGAAAAGCATCCCTACAACATGATGCTTCACTGATGGGGTAGTGTCTGATGAGAAATAGACAGTGTTAGGCCAAAAAGCTCAATTTTCACGTCTCATCTGACCACAAAGCCTTCATTTAAGTTGGGTCACTCTGATGCTTTCTGGCAAATTCCACTTGTGCTTTGATGTCTTTTTTCTTCAGTAATGGCTTCTTTCTAGCCACTCTCCTATACAGGCAATATGTATGCAGAGCTGTTAATATTGTCGCATTGTACACCTTCAGTCCAGTCTCAGGCACTGAAATCTGTAGCTCTTTCAGAGTGGCCTCTCTGTGTCTTCCCTCAAAAGACCTCTTCTTGCTCTGACGCTGAGTTTTGAGGGATGCAGATCTTCCTACTGTTTTGTGATTGCAGGAAGAATAGTTCCACCACAAACTAGGCTTATGGCTTTGAGCACGCCAGGACTTTGCTATTGTTGGGCTGCTCTTGAAAGCAAAAGCTGCGCCTTCATCATCATCATCAACAATAATACAACAGTGATTCTGCCTCATTTGCTTTGCAGCTTTCAAAACAAGTGTAAAATGGATAATGGTCCTCATTATCCCCCTCTGTTGTGGTGTCTGAAGGTTGGTTCTGCAGTGCTGGGTGTGTGTTGGGTGTGTGTTGGGTGTAGCATCAAGTCTGTTTAAGGGTGGATCTGCAGATTAGTGGGGCTGTGCTCTTCTTATCTGGCAACACCTGCTGCTGCCAGAGCAGTTTGTGCTTATCCCTGAACCATTCTGCATTGTTTTATTGCAGGGCTGAATGATATGAACAGAATACTGGTTCTGGAATTATATCGCTAAATATTGTGATTGTAATAAGCCTTGTAATATGTTAAGCACACTGGTGAATCAATAATGTGATCTGGTAAAGCTTAGACTGCATTATTCTAGCTAAAATAATCTGTTTGATATTTTTGAATACTTTGCTGGATTATAGTCACCAGAAACAGGCATCTGGAATTGTGATGGGTCAGGATGCTCATAGCACATTGTGATTGATTAGAGGGCTCCTTTGCACATTGCAGCCTTCTGAAATCAGTTCTACAAAAGCCAATATAACAGTAACAATTAATAAACAATATATTGTGTAGCTGTGGTTAAAATTAATTTAAATTATATACAGACTAATACAAAGGCTAACATCCCAAAACCAATACCGATATTTTCAAACGTAAATATATATTTGGAAGTCACCCCTCAAGCGTATGTATCTGATGTTTGCAAGGGCACTGAAAGAGTATTCAAAGAAAACTCAAAAATTGGTGCTGGACTTGTCTTCCAAGGACGTGAGTGAATGTTCTACAACCCCAATTCTAAAAAAGTTGGCACGCTGTGGAAAATGTAAATAAATGTAAATAAAAACAAAATACAATAATTTGCAAATCTCATAGACCCATATTTTATTCACAATAGAACACATATCGGATGTTGAAAGTGAGACATTTTACAATTTCATGAAAAACATTAACTCACTTAGAACCTTGATGGCGAGCTCTTCTTTGCTGGTTTTTTATTTCATGATGCGCCGAATGTTTCTATTGGTGAAAGGTCTGGACTGCAGGCGGCCTAGTTCAGCACCCGGACTCTTCTTCTGTGAAGCCATGCTGTTGTGATGGATGCAGTATGTGGTTTAGCATTCCTTCCCTGAGGCCTTCCCTGAAAGAGACGTTGTCTGGATGCGAGCATATGTTGTTTTAAACCTCTATATACTGTTTAGCATTGATAGTGTCTTTCCAGATGTGTAAGCTGCCCACGCCATAGGCAATAATGCAACCTATGATGGTCCCTCTCCTCTTGAGTCCACAGGACACAGCGTCCATGGTTCCAAAAAAGAATATCAAATTTTGATTCATCAGACCACAGAACAGTTTTCATTTTGCCTCAGTCCATTTTAAATGAGCTTTGGCCCAGAGAAGACGACAGCATTTCTGGATCGTGTTGACATAGGATTTCTTCTTTTCATGATACAGCTTTAACTGGCAAACTGTGTTCACAGAGATTGATTTCTGGAAGTGTTCCTGAGCAATGCAGTGATTTCCAGTACAGAATTATGCCGGTTTTTAATGCAGTGCCGCCTGAGGGCCTGAAGATCACGAGCATCCAATACTGACCGTCGGCCTTGTCCCTTTGCGTACAGGGATTTCTCCAGATTCTATTAACCTTTTGATGATATTATGTACTGTAGATTGAGGAACAATTTTCTGAAATTGTTCCACAATTTTTAGATTGGTGAACCTCTGCCGCTCTTTGCCTCTGAGAGACTCTGCCTCTCTAAAATGCTCTTTTCATACCCAGTCATGTGAGTTAGTTGCACATTGCTCCTCCAGCTGTTTTTTATTAGTACCACTTACTTTTCCAGCCTATTGTTGCCCCTGTCCCAACTTTTTTGAGATGCGCTGCTGCCATCAAGTTCTAAATGAGTTAATGTTTTTCATGAAATGGTAAAATGTCTCACTTTCAACATCTGATATGTGTTCTGTGTTCTATTGTGAATAAAATATGGGTCTATGAGATTTGCAAATCATTGCATTCTGTTTTTATTTACATTTATTTACATTTTCCACAGCGTCCCAACTTTTGGAATTGGGGTTGTACTTAGGGGTGGGCGGTATGGCAAAAAAAAAATATCACGATACTTCAAGACATTTTCTCTATCGTTGATATTTAGTTTTTCTGAGACTAAGTTAGAACTGACAATATAGGACCTGTAGTGCCACAAAAAAAAGACAGTAACACTAAATCGACAACTACAATGACTTTTATTCATTGTTTTACAATCTGCACTGCACTGTATCCAACTAAACAGGCCTAGTTATGCTCCCCTTGTAATAAAACTCAGTCAGTGCTTTTTAAGTACTGAATATAGTCATATTATGCTCAAAAAAGCATATTGTAACATAATTTAACATGATAACAATAAAATATAAAAACTGTTCGTCTGAAAGCGGCTGCAGCAGCAACTTTAAAGCACCACCTGCATTCAGGGTAACTTTAGTCAGCAGCGGTGAAACACTGACACAGAGATTCTTTGTTTTTTGTATGAAAAAGTTTATTCCTTTGTTAATAGCGCAACCCATTTTTTCTCTGTTCATCATCAGCTGATAAACCACTGAAACTGAGATAAGGTTTTATTCCTTCAAGCTCGAACACTTCAGTAAGCTGTATATGTTCTGCTCTTCATTGTTGTTATTGTCGTTGCTTTAGCGAAAGCAGCGTTAACCTGCAATGACTACACAAAATGCAGAAATGTAAAAATGGCCTGTAGATAGAAGACAAAGATAGAGAAAAAGAAGAAAAAGTAACATAGCTAGTGTTAGCCTGCAATCAGTGTAGCAGGGCAGCTGCAGAGAGGAGAGGCAGCATTAGGTAAGCTAAACGGCATAGCTTTAGCTTACCTAACGCTGTGTAGCATGAGAAGTCGGTGCCTAAGCTCCAAGTGCCGAGAGGCCAGTGGCCAACCCTCTCGTCGCTGAGGGGTTAGGGATTGGGCGCCAGCTTCTCATGCTACACAGCGTTAGCTAAGCTAGGGCCATAAGGCCATTGCATTTCATGGGAGTGTGTGTTCTTGCTTGAAACATTATTCTGTGGCAAGCTAACGGAGCTCTAGTGGCTCCTTGTCGGCTCTTTTTCAGCCATTTTGATCTAAAATGGAACACTGCCAGACCTGTTGAATCTAAACATCACTTAAATAGAACATAAACAGATGCGAAACAAAGTTACTAAAATCTACCAGTCTGGAAAGGGTTACAAAGCCATTGCTGAGGATCTGGGACTCCAGCAAAGCAGAGTGAGAGCCATGATCCACAAACGGAGAAAACTTGGAACAGTTCTGAACTTTCCCAGCAAAATTTCACCAAGAGTGCATTAATGACTTACCCAGGAGGTCACAAAAGAACCCAGACAAACATCTAAAGAACTGCACTCACTGGCCTCACTTGCCACAGTTAAGTTCAGTGTACATGATTCCACAACAAGAAAGACACTACTGGGCAAAAATGGCATCCATTGGGGAGCTGCAAGGCCCAAACCACTCTTGACCAAAAGGAACACAATGGCTCATCTCACACTTGCGAAAAAACATCTGGATGACCCCCAAGAATTTTGTGATAATATTCTTTGGACTGATGAGTCAAAGGTGGAATGTTTTGGAAGATGCGGATCCTGTTACATCTGGCGTAAAGCTAACACCGCATTCCACAATCAGAACATCATAGCAATAACGTAAAAGACCTATTGCCAGTTATCGCAAACGTTTGACTGCAGTTGTTAC